GTTACAGGTCTAGAAGCAAAAATGGGTGTTGGGGATTACAAGACATTCAGCAATGTCCTGTAAGACAGCTGCCTCTGGCAAAGCCCCACATAACACCCTAGGTGCTGCCCCAGGCAACATCTCAAAGACTCTTCACAGCTGAGTTAATCTCATCAGAGGGGGTGGAAGGGGTAGTGTTTTACTAAGGCGGGTAGCTTAGCAGACAAAGATGGAGTAGTCTCTTCAGATGGGAGTAAAAGAGTTGATTCTGTTGGCAGGAGTGAGTCAATGGCATTTAGGGGCTTGATGTCATCAGCTTCCTGATTAACTGCCCTTATGTCCCCATTCCGAGTTTCAGGATCCCATTTCTTCCCAATCAATGACTTCACTTTAACTTCAAACACCATTTGAGGTTGAGAATTCAACTGGCGTTGAAATTCAGCCACTCTTGCAATAAGACTCTGGGTTTACTTTTTGGCGTTATCAGCTTGGTTACCACAGGAAAGAAAGCTTTCTTTTAAGTCTTGCATGCAGCATTTGAGCTGTGACTCTGAAGTTTTATGAGCCCATCCCTTTCTTTCACCACTCCGTGTCTAGTGAAAGTAGAATCAACAAACCAGCTGCCTTAAAGTTCTCATTCTGACAAAATGGGAGGAAAGTATCAAATATATAATCACCCAGAGCCTTGTCTCTCCAAATATTTGATCCACTGGAGGTGATACTGTGAGTACTCCCACTGCCACCTCATGCCACGACTAGTAGTGCCCTCCTTACTACTGGAGGCAGAGTCATCAGGGCCTTGAAGACGAGCTGGACTTGAGACCAAATCAAAAAACATCCTTATGATTTTGTTCCTCTAGAAGATTCTTGTTACTAAATGTGTTAGGCTGGGTTCTTAGAGAAACAAAGCCAATGAACCATATATATATATACATATATGTAGATATATATATATGTTGTCGTTATGTTATGTGCTGTCGAGTCGGACCCAACTCATAGCAACCCCTCCTTGGGTTTCCGAGGTGGTACCTCTACAGAAGTAGATTGCCTAACCTTTCTTCCGAGGAGTGGCTGGTGGATTTGAACTGCCAGCCTTCCAGTCAGCAGTCAAGTGCCTTAGGCACGCACACACACACACACACACACACAAAGCATATAGAAAGAGGAAGACTGATTTCAAGGAAATGGCTCACAGAGTTGTGGAGGCTAGCAAGTCCCAAATCCACAGGTCAGGGATTCCAAATGGAGTATCGTCGGTAATCACACGCTGTTTCCCTCTAGCAGTTTGAATTAGGGATTCTGGTGCTCTGAACAGCTCACTGAGTCAGAGTGCACCAAACTCAGGGGAGTACAATTAGAAAGGAGAAAGGGACAGGGGAAAATAAATAAATAAAATAACCAAATCCCTGGATCAGGCATCAGGCTGGAAGCATCTCGTGATTCATGAGGCTGCAGGAGTTGCTGAACCCAAATCAGCAAGTCAGATAGCAGATGCTGGCTCATGTCCCAAGAAGCAGCGCTTTGACGATGACAAGTCAATGCAGGATTGAGAGCGAGCTTTGCCAGAACATCCAAAGACACTGGGTACAGGCCATGCCTCCAAGGAAACTCCCCTGACATTATTAGTCCATAAAATGGAAGGTAATTCCCTAACACTGAGAATCAGGACCTAGCCAAGTTGACACTAACATTAACCATCACTTCCTTCCAATTATCTCTACAAAATGTGACTTCTGATAATGCCTTTTTCTTGGGATACAACTACTGGAGTAGAGTCACAAATATTTGGGTTATACTATACCAGGGCTTCGAACTGGGTCAGTCATGGCCGTCGAAGCAAAACTGGAGGAGACCTGGATTTGTAACATTGGGTGAACGGGAGGATAATAATCAGAACAGAAAAAATTACAGGTTAGAGCCCTGGAAGGGGAGACTGGGAAGAGGTGTGGTGAGCCCTTTAAGGAGCCCGATGTGGGAGACTGGATTATTGGCAAAACTGCAGAGTGTAATACGCATTTGAGGTGGTGTGTGGTCAGCTGCCACCTACAAGCTGGGCGTAGCCATTTCCCACTCTGTGGGCAGGAGATTTAGTTGCTATACAATATGCACACTGCCCTAAAAGGGAGATTAAATTTCTAGCAGGGCTGTGACCTGTAATTTTTCCCACTCTGGCTATCACTCCAGTTCACCCAAATTTTTTAAATTTGGGTCTATTGAGGTGTCACTGCCTTGACCATGACTGATCCAAGCTGACCCAGCTCCAAGCCCTATACTTTACTGTCACCTCAGTGGTTTCCCCTGCATAAGTGCCCCTATAGAAACCATGGAAACCAGGTCTCAAACGCCACTTCCACCACCACACCATCTTCTCTCCTGTTCACAAGTGTGCAATCGTTTCTGACCTGTTAGTTGCCATCAAGTCAGCGCCCCTCCTGTCGATTTTGTAACAGCAGGGAACAGTGCCCACTCCTGAGCTGAACCCGTGACTGTCGGTACCTGTGAGTCCACTGTTGAGGCTACCATGTCACCCCATCTCACTGAGGGTGTCCCTCATTTCCGCTGGCCCTCTATTTTACCAAACAGCATGTTCTTTTCTGGCAATTGGTCCTTCCTGATGATGTGTCCACAGTAAGTGAGAGGCAGTCTCCCATCCTCACAAGCATCATTCTAGTTGTAATTTCTTCTAAGAATGATTTGTTCGTTCTCTTGGCAGTCCATGGTATATTCAACTTCACTGCCAATACCACAGTTCAAATGCATCAATTCTTCTGTCTTCCTTTCTCATTATCCAACTTTCACATGTGTATGAGGTGACTGAAAAGACCATGGCTTGGGTCAGCTACACTTTATTTGTCAAAGCGATACCTCTGCTTTTTACCACTTTCAAGATATCTCTTGCAGCAAATTTGCCCAGTGCAGTATGTAGTTTGATTTCTTGACTGCTGCTTTCATGGATATTGACTGTTGACCCAAGTAGGGTAAGAACCATGACAACTTCATCTTCTCCATTTATCATGATGCTGTTTATTGGTCCAGTTTACCAGTTTGTTTTCTTCACATTCAGACATCACGTTCTGCCTGGCCACTATCCACTGAATCTACGTGGTGCTCTCCCCGCAGGGTCTTCGTAAACCGGCCCAGTCTCCTCCAAGGTGACTCCCTTCTCTCCTTTACACACAAGCCTCCTCCTCTGCTAAAAGGAGATGGCCACCCAGGCTGCCTGGCAGGACAGAGCTTCCCTGACCCCTCTGTTCGTGGTCATCTCCCTCTTGGGATGCTTGCCCGCTTCTTCAGTGATTTTTCTGAACCAGGAGCTCTGGACATTAAGGGAACTGAAGACCCCTCAGAGAGTAAAAGTTACTTGTGTTCTAAGGGGTGTACACTGAATGCTCCTTATTCACTGGGTAGATGTTACCCATTTTACAGATGAGGAAACTGAGGCAAAAAGAGGTACCGTACCCCCGAAGTCACACATACAGTAAGGGGCAAACACCGATTTGAACAGGCATCTGGCTCTAGAACCCTCGCTTTTCACCACTGCTCTACCTATTTCTCCAGAAACCGCATCCAAACTGTAAACGTGTCCTAGCAACACCACATACCACAGAATGTTACAGACGGGGCAGGGTGTGTGTGTGTGAGGGTGTCACACGTTGCCTGAGAGAGGCACAGGTGCCAGGGCAGAAGCCCCCCAGCAACTGCCCCTCTGTGTCACCTTTTCTAACAGATCCCAACATGGCTCAGGCACCCCACCCTCTTCCATGTTGCCATGTGCTCCACCAAGCCAGTCACCGTGCTCACGCACACTGGACATGCAGGCACAAAGTTCTGACCAAAAAACCCAGAGGACTTCTTGCAAAGGATCGCTTGTCTGGGAAATGAACCCCACAGTGAGCGATGCCGGTTTTCCCGCTGGGTGCTGGGTCTGCATGTGGAGCCTAAAAATGGGACTGCCACCTGGAGACCATATGGTGTTGTTGTTGTTCTTCTTGTTCTTGTTCTTGTTTTGTGCCATCGAGTCAGCCCTGACTCATAGCGACCCCTCCTTAAGTTTCTGAGGCAATATCACTACGGAAGTAGGATTGCCCAACCTTCCTTCCGAGGAGTGGCTGGTGGGTTTGAACCGCCAGCTGTCTGGTTAGCAGGCAAGTGTCTTAGCCACTACGCTACCACAGCTCCTGGAGACCATACAGTGGAGAGCAAATCCAAGATGAGGACAAGGCAGACAAAGGAATCAGGGCTTTGACTATTGCTCCAGACAGATGAGCCAAAGTGTCCCTGGCACCTGCTACTGAAAGACCCAAACCAATCTACCTCCAGTCCCCAACTGCTGCTGTTGTCAGGTGCCGTCAGTCCTCTGCACACATGGGGTCAACGTGAGTTCTAAACTGAATCTACTCCTGACAGCTCAGCTCTAGCCTTACTCTACGAGATCTCATTCATTCATTCAAGGGTTTACAAAGTGCCTACTGTGCGTCGTAGAACTGAAGGTTTTCTCAAACTCAACCACTACAACCATGTTTTTCATCCTCTAGGTAGAACCCGTAAGAGTCAGAATCATACAATTCCATGCTTCCTTGCTGTTTAACTGTTTCATGTGTGTCTATTTTCTCTCACCAGCTAACTGAGCTCTCATAAAAGCAGGACTCTAATGTCCCACAGGGAAATCACACGTTGAAGATGAAATAAATACCAACCTAAAGTCTGCAGAGCTTGCGTGTGTGTAAAGGACCCAGGGCTTTTGTCTGGTTGCCTGTTTGTTTTTAAGGACAATGAACTGCAGGGCACGCTTGGCTCTGTCCCCACTGGTCAGCTGAGACTGCTCTGTGAATGTCCTCTGGATTGAGACATCACAACTGGTACTACCCACAAACGGCAGACATGATGACAAATCCACTTCTGTCCTCACGCCCCGTGAAGCCCAGATGAAGGCCTGCAGAAGCTCCCCACATAATTCCAGACACAGTGCCTGGGCACTGGGAGCTCAAAAGAACAGAAAAACAAAATATGTACATCTTTACCTTTTTCCATTTTTATCATGTAGACCAGACCCCCAATACTTAGGAACACCCAGGTACTTCAGTTTATGGGTACGAATCCATTTCTGTACTAAAAGTTAAAAGAGATGTTTGTGACTTTCAATTCTAAAAACATAACTTTTAAAAAGCATTAAGAGCAGAAATGTCCTTATGTCTGTACCAGGATTTCACTTTATTCATTCTTTAAAAATGGCAGGGACCAGTGGAACTGGTAAATGACAAGTACTTTACAATCAAAGCATTTTCACTACCCTAAATGTTGCTATTTTACCTTTAACTCAGCACTGACTTTATTGTGAACTATCTGCAAAAAGCATTACAAACTACATTTCAAAACCAAAGTACCACAGCTGCAATGAACACCCCTGACGCTGTCAGTTTTGACTGGCTCACCAAGGAAGACTTGTTTTTCACTCCAACCTAAATGACCTCAAGCAGGGATCCAGCTCTAGGAGCCTTCCTGAGAGGTCAGCAAGCCTGACAACATCCCACCAGGAAGCTCAGGAGACTGGAGGGCTGGGGGAGGGAGGGGACGGCTGAGGGAGGAGAGGGCAAGGGGGGGAGGGAAGGGCTGAGGGGGGAGGGGAAAGGAGGGGGAGGAAGGAGGGAAGAGCTGAGGAGGGAGGGGGAGGGAAGGTACAGAGGAGGAGAAGAGGGAGGGAAGGGCTGAGGGGGGAGGGGAGGACTGAGGGGGGAGGACTAGGGAGAGAGGGGAGGTTGGGAGAGGGAGGAGCTAAGGAGGGGAGAGCTGGGGAGGGAGGGGAGGGCTGGGGGAGGCAGGGGCAAGGAAGGGAGGGCTGGGGAGGGATGAAGGAGAGGAGAGGCGGGCAGAAGGCAGCAGAGTAACCGGAAAGAGACTGCTTTCTAACTTGACAGTCTCCTGTATTTCATCAACTGCGCCAGACTCTCAGGTTCTGTTCTGCAGAGCTGAGAAAAAGCAATTGCTCTGGAGAAGCCCAGAGGGTTAATTCTCAAGCTGACAGTACTTTCTAAGTCGCATACAGTTTATAAAGTTCACTCGCTGTAACAATGTAGGTGAAATCCCACCATAACAACACCCATTCAGAATTCTTTCATATAAATCTCATTTAAATGGAATTTATTAATAATGTTCCAAATAACAAAATAAGGACCTAAGTGAGACCCAATGAACACTCTCGTCTTGGCTTAAACAATAAAAACAGCCATTCAAAGCTTAAGCACAAAGGTACGGGGTTCTTACTTTGCTCAGGTTTAGCAGCTCGCTGGTAGAACTTTAGTTCAGTAAAAAGAGGTCCATTGTCACTGGGTTCCTTAAAATGGAAGAGCTCATTAGTACCAGGAGTAGTTAAAATCACGGCAGTATTTTAAATAAGTCTTCAAAAGAGACTAGCATTAATTCTTTCCAAACAATAATTTTGATATTTAGGTTTATAACTGTGTTACAGACTGAAGTCCAATGTTCTAGACATATTCCCAAGGTTCTCAGAAGAGTCCCTAATTCTTACATTTCCGTCAAGTTCCATTTCTCTAAGTGATAAATAACACAAGCTCCGACAGCCAGCTCAGTCTTTGCAGAAGTTTAAAAACATTCTCTAAACTAATGAGCATCTCTATTAAGCTCCCTCTTAAGCAAAGACGAGCAGCCAGTTAACCGTCTCACCAAAGGGCTGTAGGGTAGTTCTCAGATTTTAACCCAATCATCTCAGTGCCTGACTGAACCAATCAGTGCCAAAATCCCAGTCCTTCTCTGTCTCTCCCTGTCACAGTACTTCATGGGGTACTGGCAGAAACAGATCACCCCTCAAAGGATAGGGTTCCTGGCTGTGTAACCCGGCTTTCCCTTTCTGACACTAATCACTGAAGCCAAGCTTTCCAAGCACACAGCCCTACAACTTGCCTCCCACGTGATACCCTGAAGGCAATAAGCAAACTGGCTCCCACCTGCTTCCCGCCATTTTAAAGTAGTAACAGTTCAAATTCACAGGCACTAGAACAAAGAGGGGGAGCTCTGGTAGCATAGTGACTAAGTCACTTGACTGCTAACCAGAAGGCTGGCAGTTCAAACCCACCAGCCACTCCTCGGAAGGAAGGTTGGGCAATCCTACTTCTGTAGTGATACTGCCTCGGAAACCCAAGGAGGGGTCGCTATGAGTCGGGGCCGACTCGATGGCACATAACAACAACAACAACAACATATGAGTCGGGGCCGACTCGATGGCACATAACAACAACAACAACAACAGAATAAAGAGGTACTTGTTCACACAGAGATAAGAACTACGAGCCTGTTGAGAGCTCTGCCCGGGGAGGCTGGGGAGAAGGTCTGCAATCCTCGGCCCTGGCTAACGAGAAGCGGGTGTTCAAGGTCCGACGTTCTGTGCTCCTTATCATGTGGCTTACTGGGAGCCAGAGAAAAAACTTAAAAAGGGACGGACAAGCTCCTGTGAGCATGACATTTTTAAACGAATTTTTGGTTTGGTTTTCTCTTAGAAGGTACGGGGAAACCACTGCTCTGAGAGAACGTCTGTGGAGCTGGAGTCTGGAGGGCCGGAGCCTGTGAGAAGGCTGAGGAGCGAGGCCAGCCACCCAGGAGAACTCAAGAAAACAGCCAGTGTTTGGCCACCAGCGAGGCCTTTCGCAAGTCCTTCTAATGCGCTCATCCTGTCTTCTTCTCATTCCAGACACCTTCAACGGTCACAGAGGTTCACTTCATTCCTCGATGTTTTGGTAAGACCCCTCCATACACACAGTTCTAATACCTCAAGCGTCTCTTAATTCAAAAACAGGAATCCCCAGCTGATTTCCTTACGGGAAGGACCAATGAGACATCTACACAGAGGCAGCACCCGTTTACAAGTGAGCGTGTGACAGCAAACAGACGCGTGTCCAACCCTGGGAATCAGCTTGCTACTGATACAGGTGAGGACGCTTTCCACCCCTGCCTGGGACACAGCAGCAAGGGGCTCCGACAGACAGGTGTGAGAGCCACTTCCCTAAGCCTGGGCTCCTATGTAAGCCGTGGCCCCTGCTAGCAGCAACAGTTGGACACAAGGTTGTGACTGTGCAGAGCCGAGGCCAAGAACGGGCCGTCAGCAGGAATCGCAGAATCAGAGAAAAATGAGGACAGAAATGGGAACTCAAGGAAAAGAAGCGACTTTGGTAAAGTTACGCCACAGGTTACCTTGGGAACAGCATTAGAACAGCAGGGCCTGGGAGAGGCGAACTCGCCGGCCGGCCTGGTTTTCCAGGTCTTGTGAGTTCTCCGCCTCTGGGGAGGCGCACCGGAGCACCCTTCTAGCCTCCTCTATTAGTGGAAGACACAGGCCGACCTTGGAGGCACTGTGCGTTTGGTTGCAGACCACCACAATAAAGCAAGTGTCCCAATGAAGAACGTCACACAAGCGCCTGCTTCAGAGCGTATCAAGGCTACATTTGCGCTATACTGTAGTCTGCAAAATGCAAGAGCATCAGGAAAAAGTGTGAAATACCGTGAGAATGACCAAAACATGACACAGACACACCAAGGGAGCACACGCTGCGGGAAAAACGGTGCCAACAAAGTTGCTCAACACAATCTGTAAAAACTGCACGACCTGTAGGGTGCAGTAACGCCAGGGGCATCTGAGCTTTCCCTTCTTATGCAGGCTCTGGCTGTCACAGGTTTACTGAACAACTCAAGTTCAAAAGGGGTTTTCCTAAGACAAATCTGGTTTATCACCATCAGTAGGAAATTCTGACTTTCTGTTTCAACCTGTGTCATAGCAACTTTAATTTTCAAGTTTTCCTTTGGGCAATGATTTATTAAACTTTCTCATCGTGAGAATCAGCCTCCATAAATCAGGCTGTTAGAATGAAAACCCACAACGACGGCTCTCACAGCCACTTTGCACTGTTTCTAATCCAGTAAGATTCCATTATAACAAAATAAAGGCGCTACTTCCCTGCCGTGCACTCCAGCCAAAGCTAGCTGCTTCTGTTGAAGAAATAGCGTGCCTCCTAACGAACGTTTATTAACATATTTCAAATCTAAAATCTGTGCCAACTCAGTAATAGCCAAGATTCAGAAAAGAAATTAGGGCTGACATTTTAACTAGAATATCACTAAACGTTTCTTTAAGACTTCTAAGTGTCAAAATGAAGATGACAACAGAAAAAAATTAAAATGTGATAGATTTCAATGGCAGCCGTCTAAAAGCAACTGGCTGCCATTTAAAAAGGAAGCTGCACAAAATCTCTCCTTCCTGCTGAAAAATCCATCACATCAGTGAGGAAAATCAAACATCAGTCTGCCAAGTCTTTGCCAGGGAGCTTCAGAACAGACTTGTATCAGTTCATCCTGAACCCAGTCACGACGCACTGAACCGTTAGGGCGCCAGCTCCAGAAGCCTGACCTCCACCCCTACTCCTGCTACTAGCCAGCAAACAGGAAGACAGAGCTGAGGGCGACTGGCAGGGCCAACTTAGGATGAAGTACGTTGGCAAGAACACATAAACAAGCATTCACCTGCTAACCAAGAGGTCAGCGGTTCAAAGCCACGAGCCCACTCGGTGGGAGAAAGATTGAGGCAGTCTGCTTCCGTCAAGACTGACAGCCTTGGAAACAATGGGGCAGTTCTACCCTGTCCTCAGTAATGCCGTGAGTCGGGATAGACTCAACAGCAGCGGCTTTGCTTTGGTTTATTTTATTCGATGCATTATCATCAACTCTGTACACGTGGTTTCCAGAAATACATCATCCAGACAGTATACCTCTCGATTATTCACAGGCAGAGGTGAGGAGGCAGCACTGCTAATCCACAGCTGTCCGCAGGTCAAGGACTGCACCTCAAACAAAATCAGAGACAGTCCTCTGGTCCAAAAGCAAGCCCACTGCCACGGAGTCGATTCCAACTCACAGCCACCCCACTGGCTTTCCAAGGCAGTAATTCTCTATGGAAGTAGACTGCCTCATGTTCCCCCGGGCAGCAGCTGGTGGGTTCAAACCACCAACCTTCTCTGTGTTTTTAAATTTTTACTGTGATTTGGGTGAAAGTTTACAGAGCAAATTCATTTTCCACACAGCAGTTCACTCACACTGTGTTTCATGACACTGACCGCCATCCCCCCCAACGTAACAGCCCTCTTGCCACCTTTTCCCTGTGTCCGTCCTTCCCATGCAACCCCAGTCCCCAGCTGTCTCCCTGTGCATACACTGTCCTCGTGTTCTCACCAGATGGATCCCTGCACGGAGTCTATCTGCCTGATACAAACGTTCACCCCACATGCCTGTCTGTCGTTTGGCTGGAAGCCACGGGAGTGAGCTCAGTGGTCAGGTCAGTCGTCTCAGCAGACTATCACACCAGCAAACCTGGTCATTTTTCTATGATTTTGAGTTTTGTGCCACACTGTTCTCCCACTCTATCAGGATTTCCTGCACCAATCCCCCTCTGCATGGTTGACAGCAGCAGCTGCGCACCATCTAGTTCTGGTCTCATGGTCATACAGGCTGACGATCACACGGTCTCCAAGTCCCTTGGACTAACTGTTTCCATGCGTCTTTGATAGAACCACTGACATTCTAGTTAGCAGCCAAATGTCTTACTCACTGTGCCACCAGAACTCCTTAGTCCTCTGGCAGGAGAGGAATATTTTTAGCACGTGCCCAAATGTCCCATCTTGAAAATATATGCCTGACCTTCAACCTGAGGCCCAAGGTAAGGAACTGGGAGGGGCTGTTTGGAGCTCTCACACAGAACACATGGGTATCAGCAGCAACTCATGTTTTTTTTTTTTACAAAACTTCCACATTAAGATGGGAGCCCAGACCAGAAGCACAGGGTGTAGAAGGGTCCTGAAGAAATGACTGAAATGCACATGCACACACAACGCCACTTACAATAACCCAGCCCTGACCCGTGGTTCTCAATGTGGCTACACAACAAGCCAGCTGGAGCCTTGGATGCAAACACCAATGACCAGCCACCAACCCAAGATTCTGACCACAAAGCCATGTCCAAGTCATTCTCGGACATGCCATCACGTTACAAAACCTAATCTCACAGCAAAGATCAACTGGCCTTTCTTCAAACCAAACACCAGTTTGGCTAAACGGTACAGGATGCCTGCCTTGTAAGAACCATCTCTACGGGAGCAAAGTGACAACAAGAACTCCCACGGGAGAGAACAACGCAGAACGGAGGGAGAAGGTGGCTGCACAGCTGAAAGCAGGTCACCAGTGGCACCGAGACGTCCCTGTGGAAATGGGTGGCCTGGCATACATCCTGCTATGCAGATTCTCAGCAACAACAAACAGCTGAAGTTTAAAAACCCATTTACCTGTATTTCCTAAATAAGATTTGCTAAGCTTTCTTCTCTAAAGATAAAATGCATGTTCATTTAGAAAATATGGGAACATTTGGATATGTATTTTTTTACATATATATATTTTATAAAATTACCTTCACATATCTTGCTCTTTTAAACAATAATAATAATAATTAATATGAAATTTCCCCAAAGAGAAGTCGATGTTCTTTGGAAACATGATTTTTAACAGTCCCTTAATTATGTTTTGTCTGAGAATGATAATACTATTCTTTATTGGGAGTAACTGAAATATTTCAATCATTGCTCAAGGTAATTTCACATTCACGGCTTTTTTTTTAATTTTATAGTTATTGGGGGGGGCCGAGTAGGAACAGGTGTTTCCTAAATGCAAATGTTCCTAAGTAGCCCTGACTTAAATCCTGGAAAGCTCCGACACTGAGCTGCTGTTTGTACATGATGAAACATTTCATCATATCACACTGGGAGGGTGAAAAAGTCCAAACCGTAAAGACAGTGTTCCAGCACAGTCCACAGCAAAGGAGACACACCACAACTAAGCCTACTCCAAACGGCAAGCGGCCGGACCGGGCATGGGCGGCCGCTGGAATTTGAGAATAAATGGGCAGAAAGAGGGGCAAAGGATGGCGACTCACAGCTACAACGTATTCAAAAAAATACATGAAGCAGGCATTTGCAGAGGCAGTGGGGAAACATCCTCAGCCTCACTGTGTTGTCATATGCCATCCAGTCAGACTGACTCATAGCGACCCCTCCGTGGGTTTCTGAGGCAGTATCACTACGGAAGTAGATTGCTCAACCTTCCTTCCGAGGAGTGGCCGGTGGGTTTGAACAGCCAGCCTTCTGGTTAGCAGTCAAGTGCCTTAGGCACCACGCCACCAGAGCTCAACCTCGTTAGGGAGGAAAAATACATACAAAACTAAAACAACTAATGATGTCAGAAAGATAATGGTGCCGAAAATTGAATTAATGTAAACACAGTGAGTGCTATGAGAGCTTCAAGGAGCTCAGAAAAGACGAGAGTTGGAAGGAGGGGAAGGGAGGCAGCGAATACTGGTTATAAACACCCCTCAGAGGGGGGACAAAGGCAATAGCAGTGCTTTGTTTTTGGCATTCTTCCAGGATCACAGACAAACGATGACAATTAGTCAGGAATAAGAAAGAACCGAGCTTGTTGCCTCTTTAAAAAAAAAAAAAAAAAAAAACTCAACATTGCAAAAGTTACTAAAACATTCAGTGCCAAGGAGAAGTCACCCATGTCCCACTGTCTTCAGCTCTGACAGGAGGAGCAGGAATGGCTCAGATGAAGACAGGGCTGAACAGGAGACGGGACCCAGACCGAGCTGAGCCAGGTCCAACAGCCAACGGCCTTCGGCTTAGAGCTGTGAAGCACGGTGCCAGCTTCAGCAGTTAGGAAATCATCTGCCTACTCGTTACTTTTTCTTAACTTGGTGAGTGAAATTACCTTCAGCAATAACGGAAATACTTCAATTACTCCCAGAAAAGAACAGTATTATAATTCCCAGATCAAACTCAATCTAAGGGAGCTCAAATTGACAGATGAAAGCCCAGGACTCTGGCCCTTGGACAGCCTTCAGGCCTGGAACTGAGCTCCCCCCGGGGCTCCACTCCTCAGCCGAAGGACGGGCTTCCACGGCGAATGATCAACCGGGGGGTAGGTGCTCCTTAGGACAATCAACAAAGCAGATCAAAAAGGCAGCACTTGCCCAGGGAGAAAGCGAGAAAGGCAGGGACAGGAAAGGACGAACAGAAACGGGAAACACAGGGAGGAAGTGCGAAGTGTTGGTACACCGTGGGGATTGCAATCAATGTCACGGAACAAGATATATATGGACAGTTTGATGGAAAACCAATTTGCTCTGTAAACTTTCAGCCAAATCACAATAAAAAGTATATTTAGGAAAAAAAACCTCAAATAATATAGGAAAAGGAAAAAAAAAAAAAAAAGCAGCAGTGGTTCATATCAGACAGAAAACAGAAAAAAGCGAAAAGACCTAGCTAGGCAACAGTCTCACACATGAGAAGCAATGTACTTTCCTGGCGAGCCAAGAAGACAACCCTGCATCGTGACCAAATGCAAAGGAACTGGGGTAACTGCTATCTGCAGCTCAAAAGCACAAGGAGTCATAAGAAGACTCACTTCTCAAATGAAGACCCTTGTGAAGAGCCTAAGAAGAAAATGGCTCTTACCCGTGTATCTTAATTTGTCCTATCAAAGAGAGAGGGAGCTCTGGTGGTATAATGGATAAGGCATGAGGCCAGCGGTTCAAACCCACCAGCCGCTCTTGTCTTTGCAGCTCAATGGAAAGAAGATGTAAAGGTTTACCACCTTGGAAACCCAACAGGGTTCGCTATGTGTCGGAACCAACTTGATGGCAGTGGGTTTGGTTTTTGCCTTATGAAACAGAGACACATACTACTTGCAATTCTACGCCAATGATACAATCTCACAGTGAGCACCGGTCTCCTCTGCTTCAGTAGTAACCAGAGTGTATTCAAGGCAACATTCTTCCACAAACGAGAAGGACAGAGACTCCAAGGTGAACGGCAGGAAGGAAAGGAGGACGGCCGGCAAATAAAGTACTGACGCGGCACTCAGCAGTCACGCCTTCCCTCCCGTTCCCAAGCAGCTGAGGAACTGGGACCCAACTCACCCGCCTGCCGTGTGCACACAGAAAACTGGACAAGGGCATGGGACTGCTGCTGTCAGGCACTAGACAATACGCACTGCAGGCCTGTGACCATGAAGACACAGGGAACAGACACCATGGGCCCATGACAGCCCGGGCTCTCTTCCTAGAGGCACTAGGAGTAAAGAAGAGGGCATTGAGGAGACCACAGAGCCAGAGGTGGACTGACCACAGTCCTGCAGCCACATCAAGCCGCAAAGACAAGTAGCAGAGTCGAGGGTGTCAACACCCACCAGAGTCCCACTGAGCAGCCAGCTACACTGTTATGACACCAGATGCATGTGGGACGGTACTGTCTGTACACTGACAGGTTACCATATACATGTACACACTGCTAGGGTCCATATACATGCTGTTGGACCATGTGCATACTGATATCACAGACGTCTGTGACCTTCTAAACGATGCATGGCTAAGCGACAGCACCAAATACTCAAACAAAGTAGTGGCCTCAAAGGCTGCAGGAAGTTGGATGGGAAAAGCCAACTTTTGGGGGTAATGGAAGGGCTTTTGGGGTAATGGAAATATTCTCTCTTGATAGGGGAGGGGCTACATAGGTATATGTATTTATCGAAAGTCATCAAACTATTTCAACATTATGTAAGTATATAAATTATGTCTCAATAAAAAAAAAAAAAATACTTTAAAAAAATTCACTGAAAAAGAAACAAGTCCAGAAGAGTTAACTCATAAGAGGTCAAAGATACTCCACTCTGGAAAATACAAAAGGCCCCTTCAGGTATTCAAATGCCAGAGCTTGGTAGCCTTTAGAACAAAGGAGGGCAGAGGCCATGAACATAATTTGCCCAAATGACAGTTCTGTTACCTGTTCAACAAAAGCATGCTCTTAATGCGGACTCTGGGGAAAAAGGGGAGCCAATTTCTACAAAGTCGCAGGGCACAAAGGGTGACAGGCAAAAGATGCATCATACATGTTTATGACAGAAAAAAAAAAAAAAAAATAGTAGTTTTAAGGCCTTTCAATTCCCCAGGATAAAAATTAACCTGGCTACTCATAAGATAAGCAGCTCTCGTGGCATAGTGCCTAAGGCATTGGACTGCTAACCAGAAAGCTGGCAGTTCAAACCCACCAGCCACTCCTTAGAAGGAAGACTAGGCAGTCTACTTCCTTCATGACACCACCTGGGAAACCCAAGGAGGGGGCGCTATGAGTCGAATCGACTCACCAGCAATGGGTTTGGTTTGGTTTGGTTTTTGGTTTGCTTCAGTTCAAAGGAGCCCTGGTGGCACAGCAGTTAACCGCTCAGCTGCAAACTGAAAAGTTGGCTGTCTGAACCCCCAGCCACCCCACAGAAGAAAGATGTGGCAGTCTGCTTCCATCAAGATGACAGCTTTGGAATCCCTCTGGGGCAGTTCTCCTCTGTCCCACGGGGGTACTGTGACTCAGAACCAGCCCAAGAGCAATGGGTTTAGGATCCTTCAATTCATTTTCCCCTAAAATTCTGTGGCCTTCTAATTCAGAAAAGAAGAAAGGGGCTTTGTGAGCAAGAGGTATGTGTAACTGCAAAGCGACCCTTAGGCCTCATTAGGTATTTATCAAGCACTGTTAACACCTCAGAAGTGGATTAGGCCCACTTATCAAAGGAATCCCAGGGTGGCACCATTACTAAACCCACTTGCTAAGCAAAAGGTTGGCAATTCACATCCGTCCAGAGGAATCTCAGAAGAGAGACCTGGCAATCTACTTCCAAAAATCAGCCACTGAAAATGCTATGGAGCCCAGTTCCCCTCTGACACACATGGTCACCACAAGTTAGAAAAGACCTGAAGGTACTGGTTAACCCAAAGCCACTGCCATGGAGTCAATCCTGACTCACAGCAACCCTACAGGACAGAGCAGAACTGCCACAGGCTGTGAACCTTCACCGACGCATACTGCCACATCTTCTCCTGCAGAGGGGCTGTGGGGGCTGGAACCACGGACCTTTTGATTAGCACCTAA